GTGTTGTGCTGCTGATAATAATCAATAAGGTTTCTGTTGCAATAAACAATTAAATCTTCAAATACTGCATCAGAAGGACTCAGAAATGGTATCGAGTGTAGTGTCTAATATCACCAGGGGAGAATACAGCAAGGAAAACAGAGGATAATAATAATAATAATAATAATAATAATAATAATAATAAAAATAACAATAATAATAATAATGTTTTGCCTCAAAATTCTTAAAATTTCAATGCATATCAATGTTATGTGCTACTCAATTATCTAATCTGAAATTGTTGTGCCCCCGCCAACCCCATTTGAAAAATTCTGGATTCGTCCCTAATCACTGTCATAGTATTGAGACTTGAGCACTCCCCTAGCACTCAATTCCTCTTGTTTAATTACTGGACTAGTAGTTTATACCGGATGTGTAACTAGGTGAACCCCAATCCCTTCGTTCCAATAGTATAAATATTACCTAACAAACTCAACATGACTTCAATAGTAGCCTATACATAGCAATGTTGACTCCCATACATACATAAACTTGAATCACCTCTAAAAGCGTACTGTACATGGTTAAAACTGTAGGCTTAACTCTTAAAACAAACATAGCATAGTCAACTCAACTTCACCAGCATAAATGGCAAACTAGACTCCATTAGCACAGAAACTTAACTAAAGAGTTCAATAGCCTACATGGCAAACTTGACTTCCATAACATTAACACACACACACACACACACACAAACTCCAATAAAAAAACATACATAGCAAAATTGATTTGACTCCCATAGCATACATGGAAAATCTTGACTGGATTCCAAAGCATACACAACTCAACTTTACATAGAATATATAGAAAATTACTAATAAAGCGAATAGAAGCTAAAAATTGTTTAAAATTTTATCTGATATCGATTGAAAAAAATGATCCACCACCACAAATGAGTCTTGTTTCACCAGAGTCAAAAAGATAAATGATTCCAGGAACTATTTCATAGAGGGAAACTTATCATATATAAGTTCATCCAGCTATAAAATAGAAGTGGAAATATTGCCTTGGAATTCAAGCATACGAAACTTGGAGGAAAACAACCTCATTTCTAAAATTTCTAAAAGTAAGTGACTTAATGTGTATTGAATAGAAAATGATGAAAACCCTTTCTCGGCAAAAATCAGGTTCCAACCATTAAACAAACTTTGGCATACGGTGCAAACATGACTCCCTCTATGGCAGATGGCTATTCTAAGGTACTATCTCCTGTTTTCCCCAATAATTATAACACTTTTCTTTTTCCAACCAGGGCAGACAGATTTTTGTTTCCCTTAACCTAATGACAGAAATTAATGCAAATAGGATGTTTACCTTAGAATAAACCGAAGACTGCAAATATCAAAAAAAGATTGATGAATAAAATAGGAGAAAAATAATTTTAAAACAAATGAATGAGCTTAACAATGAAATGAATTGATACTCAAATAAATGAGAGCAACTGATAAAATTGACGCTTCTCATGTAATGATTCATGGCTTATTAATATTAAGTAACTAATTTTAATCTAATGGCATTTTAAGTTTATACTTTCGCCTTTTCTGTTCACTGTTTGTGTTCGCACTGTATATTGATTAAGTCTTACCTGCGGTCTAATCTCACCTAGCCTATTGTTTCTAACTATTTTTGTCTCACTCTTATTAGTGTCAACTTCTTCTCATTTGAGGTTACCATTGCAAAACCAGTATCAGCGACAAAAAAAATGAATATTGACTTTATAATATACTCTAATTCTCCACAACGTAAACTTCAAAATAGAATTGGTTGGCGCATCAGTTGTGGCTTGGACTCCCAACCTTGAGGTCGGGGGTTTGAATCTATCGCTGTGCAAGTCGCTTGTGTCCTTGGGCAAGGTACTTTACTACGGTTGCCTCTCTCTCCACTTAGGAGTATAAGTGGGTACCTGGTAGGTTTAAACACAACCATGCGCTGATTACAGCTGCAACATTATGGGGCATGAGTGTTGTGTTCCATGTGCTTGATCGAGTGACCGCGGGTAATAATGTAAAGAGCATAGAGGTTAGTCTAAAATATGCGCTATATAAGTCGACAATTATTATTATTATAAAATGATAGGTCATTTATTCGTATCGACTTACTACTGCCAAAGTTATGAGTAAAAGTATTACGGCCTATCTGTACAAAGCATACAATACTGCCGTGGATTCTTATGCTAATTACAATTAGCGATCGCAGTTTTGGAATGGCAAGACTGATTTGATTTTTTTCTACCCTCAATCCCTCGCCACCGAGATAGGACTAGTGCTGTCTAAAAGCTCTGGCTCTATTTCTGGCTGTATACTTGCGTTCACATTTTAGGTTTTGCTGATCAATTTTGTATTATGTATTTTATATTATATATATATCTAAATAAATATACCTATGTAAACATATGTGGCAAAGACAAGCCAAACCTGTCACTCGTCGCAAATCTTGTTTCAGAGAAAATAGCCAAAATATGCTGGAATGTCAAATTAAAAAAATTCATTTTATTGCACTAAAATAAACTTTATATATCTATACATCATGCTATGCTGTTATTTTCCCCATTTTCAATGTGAAAACAACACTTTTTTAAAATTTCATGATCATAAACTTTGAAGGCTGATTTCTCATATATTGTTCTTTAAACAGCTGTATGTTTAAACGCTTGTAACTTCATAAGGAAATGTCGGATTTGAATGATTTTTTTACCAGCTTATATTTTAATCTTTAACCCTGTAACTCATAATTGGTTTTTGCAAAGAGTGACTGGTTTGGCTTGTCTTTGCAACATATAAATCCAATTCCTTGAATATAATATATTAGTTTAATAGCAGAGAATGTGCTGATTAGGAAACCTGACTACATTTGACAGTCAAATTAATTTAATGAATATTCATAAATTATATGAATAATCATATCAAACATAATGAATATTCATATATGCAAATGAATCACCACATGAGAAGAAAGAAGCATTTGATGTGAACCTTTTCAAGTCCTTGTTAAGCTGAAAATCATAATAAAAAAACACCATGCCGGAAGTTGAATAGCATGAAAAATAAAATGACCTCAAAATTAAATGACCTCAAGCCAGGAAGTGATGAAATGTTGAGTCAACAAATCACAATTTAATGTTTATTTTCAAACCAAGAATGCAAAGCAGTTATTGGTTGTAGAAACAAAGGGGGAGGAGCCTTACAGTTCTGCCTTACCAATTGCCTTTAGGTGGTGAGCAAACCGACCAATCATATGAATGTGGACATGCCCTGGGGTAAAAAGGTCTTGAAAAGAGAGAGCACAAAATCATACACAATGAGTGGTTAGTACACGGCAGGGGATAATTTTATCTATCAAAAAATATCAACAAATATATTTATCTACATTTTAACTGGTTTGCAAACTTTTTATAAGGAAAAAAAAGTAAAATATTTGGTGGTTAGTTGCAATGAAAATTATAAATATACATAAATTTGTTAACTGCCCAGTTTTCTGTTTTCCAATGAATTGCATGATCAAATATTTGGACCCGTGCTAAGGATTTCGTGATTCTAGAATTCAGTGAAGGAATATAAAATGCAAACTTAATATCAAGCATATTACTACACCAAATGTTCACCCAACCAGTGTTTTCAACTAAATCAACAATATTAACATTCTCTTTTTATTATTAGCATTACGTTCTGAGCAACCATCTTGCACAATAAATATCTATGAATGTCCCTACCTGTGTTTCATCTTCTGATTCGTCATCTACTTCAGAGGGCTTTTCCGTGACACTACTAAAATCGTCTGGCGTCTCAAATGCCGGAGGTGGCGGCACTGTCCTTTGAACATCTTCATAGTGTTTACTTTCTTCTTCTTCTGAATAATGGATGTTTCCGGGACTGGGCCTGGGGGGAGCTCTAATGCAGAGTAAATAGAAGAAAAATGAATATACAATTGTACACGTAGGGAGAATACTTTGTTAGTCTGTGTTTTCATGTGTTAATGATGGATTAATAGTATGACATCATTGACTAATACTTCTTGAAAATAATGTGTGTCTTAAAATTAATAAATTCAGACATTTACTTCCTGACATCAAAAAGTAAATGAGGAGGATTACATGGTATTTTACATGTTGGAAATGAAAATTTAATTTATTTTTTGGGGGATGTTTATTTTGGAAACCTTCACAATCTGTTCCTAATAAAACTCTTTATTCTGAGCTTTGCATACCTGGAGTATGAATTACCCCGTCCCCTCCCTCTATGCTGCGACCTTCGACCACCGCTTGGACGTCTGCTATTACTCATTTCAAAGGCAGTAAAACTGTTGTCTTCCATGTTTGTTACAGACTCATCCAATACATTTCGATGAACCTTTTTATCTATAATGAATCAAATAAATAAAATCAAAATTAAATAATTTTCAATATACTTGGAATGCTGATCAAGTTTCTATATGGCAGCTGATTGTCATCGTTGTTGTCACATAAATTGTGACAGATTTTGTTTTTCTCTGACCATTTTCACCCCACATTCTTGTACAGTAACTCTATGACTGCCTATAACAAATAGTATTAATAAGAGAGAAAATGCATGTTTAAGATTACTTGTTATGATTATTTTATATAGTGGTTATAATAATAATACCAATAATAATAATAATAATAATAATAATAATAATAAAATAATTTTAAAAAATTTGTAAATGCGCCAATTCCAAAAAATAATTATAAAAGGCGCAGTGTATGTTAAGACGACAAGCTGTTAAAAAGATGAGTTTTAAGTTCAGATTTGAATGCAATAATAGAGGTTCCTGATCTAATGGATGAAGGGTAGTACATTCCAAAGATACGAGGCAGCAAGTGTAAATGCTCTTTAGCCATACATTGTGTGACATTTCGGTACAGTGAAAAGATTTTGCAAAGAAGGTTGAAGGCGACGAGTTAATACTGTTACTATTTTGCCAAATCCAAAAACATATTTGGCACATATTAAAAAAAAACAAACTTCGACACTAGTCATACAATACAGTACATAATAGCTTGGAGTATCACTAATCGAAGTTTTGAATATAAAGAAAAAAAAAATTCAACCTACCGACATACTTCCCGTTTTTACCGCACATACATAGAGTAGCAACAACAAGGATTACAACGATGAAACCGACTAATCCCACAATTACAAGGAACCACCATTCTTCGTAGAACACTACAGTGCCAGTAGCTAACAAGAATAAAAACAACAATACATTAATAAATCTGTCATTAAAGGCATGTAGGCATCAAACCTAAAAACCTTTAATAAATAATATTATACACAAAAAATAAAGTGTAAATAAAGTATTATATAATATAAAATTAAGTTTTTAAATACTGGATGTTACAACTTAAGCATATTATGTTAGAAAATTTTATATAATAGTTTCATAACAGACTAAGCACCTTGATATAAAATGTAAAGAAAATGTAAGTATTCACTGCAGCAATCTAGAGTATTAATCCATATCCACTTATATTAAAAAAATCTACATAATTAATTAGTATTAATTGATGTTATAAATTGTAAAAGGTAAATGATAGAAGCCTTAAGCAGCATTTAGTAATAATATAGTAAACAATTATAGTTTGGTTAAAATTATAACACTATTAATAATTTAGTAATAGTTGTAATACAGTACCATAAAAATAATAAAAGCCAAAAAAAAAACCTACATGATTAATTAGTATTAATTGATGTTATAAATCGTAAAAGGTAAATGATAGAAGCCTTAAGCAGCATTTAGTAATAATATAGTAAACAATTATAGTTTGGTTAAAATTATAACACTATTAATAATTTAGTAATAGTTGTAATACAGTACCATAAAAATAATAAAAGCAAAAAAAAAACCTACATGATTAATTAGTATTAATTGATGTTATAAATTGTAAAAGGTAAATGATTGAAGCCTCAAGCAGCATTTAGTAATAGTAGAGTAAAAAATTATAGTTTGGTTAAAATTATAACACTATTAATAATTTAGTAATAGTTGTAATACAGTAACATAAAAATAATAAAAGCCAAAAAAAAAAAAAACCCAACTTTATGATTACACTTTCCCAATGCAGAAAAATCTTTCAAGTTCATAAAATAAAATAAGAATATTATGATGCCGAGGATTTTAAATTAGAAATTAATATATAAACAACCTTGGAACATAAAAGAACCCCCTAACTTGACAAGAATGCTCTTAACAAAATTCAAGAAAGCTACAATGCTGTTGGCCAGCAATTATAGCTGGAAAGCTATCAACACATTTATCTTTGTGTCCAACAAAAGGTCTGTTACACTTTAATAAAAAAAACCCTCACGTTAACTTTCCCTGGACCACACAGCATAAAATATCGGCACACCAGCTAATGTAAAGTTGACAATTTTTAAGTATGTCTATGTCCATAAATGTTTATTATAAAAAAAAAAAATCTAAATGGCAGGTGCTCTGCATAATTTAATCTGGGACTGGCAGTAGAGAGGAGGATGGTTTAGGGGTTCATGCTAAGCTTCCCAAAATGTCATTTGCAAGACAACTGCAACATGCAGGTAAAGAGGGATCGGGGGGGGGGGGGGGGGGGGAGGAGGAAAAAGAGGAATTGATCAGTACCTGATTTACAGACTGAAGAAGACACGCAAGAAACAGAAGAAAAAGAAAATAATGCTATTAATACAGCTTGCAACAAAAAGAATTAATTGGATTAGAATGACATGCAATTGAATTAAACACCGGATACTTTATATATCATTTTATCAGTTATGTTTTGGTGGTAAAAACAGCTTTTTTTTTCTTTGACAACATATCAGTCTTATAATTACTTTGTGCTTATTGCAAAGACCTCTCTGGGTACTTAATTTTATTGCCTATTATTGGAACAAATACTTATAGAATACAAATATGTTCAGTTTCCCAGGGTATATTTCAAGATCTTGTAAATAGTATGCTACTGAGCACTGGTATTTTATACAAAGCACTCAATTATATACGTGGATATACAGTAGTGAATTGACTAAGCCAAGCCAATAAAAGCCAACTAAACCAACAAAAAATAACCAGATTGGGAAAAAGAGACCACAAAGCTATGGTTGAGATGAGAGGCTAGCACATATTTATTGCCTCTTGTTTTAAATAATTAACATTACTTTAATTATTATCAATATTTAGAATGGGCTAAAAAGTTGATCAACTCACTGGTTTAAATTAAACAAACAAATAAACAATTAATTGGCTTAAGTTACTTTCCACTGTATACAATAAAAAAGAATTAATTGAAATTGGCACTTTTGGACATCACTGATATTGGGTGGGGGGAGGACAAAAAATAATTTTTAACACAATATAACTGGCTATAATTAACTAATATTTAGTTTAAACTAAATTATTCCAGAATGTATTTGAGTCCCATGTGACCTTTTTAAAGCCCTATGTGACCTTTTTTAAGCCCTGTCAAGATTATCATATTTTCTTTGACAAAAAACTGTTGTATGTCCATATATAGTCATGATGTGCCTATATATGGTCATGATGTGATGGTCATCATGACCATATTTAAGCATGTCACATGCTCTCGTCAAATAAAAATGGGGCTTAAGACGGTCTATGTGATAAAGTTCAATACAACTGTCCAGTTAGAAATAACTGTTTAATATCATTTAAGAACATAACTCCTCCTTCCCCCTACGATGTCTGCCAATGGTAATTCTTTTCATGCCTTACCTGGAACAGCGAAAGGATTATCAGCAAATGCTGGTTCACTTATACTCTGCGAGTTCTCAGCCATGAGTCGGAACTCATACAAAGTACTGCTTTTAAGATTCCCATAGGAGATCACGTAAGATGTGGTGTCTGGATCGATGCTGTCGGACAACAATTCCCACTCTACGTCTGCAAAAAAAAAACCAAAAAAAACCCCAAAAAACAATAAGATCAAAATCTTATTAAAATTCAAAAGGGGAAGAAACCAATTACAGTGGCTAAGGGCAATAGAATTTTTGGTTCTGTTAACATCATCTAAACTTGAAAGGATCAAGTCCACTGTTATCTGGTAAGTTGTTTGAAGATTGATTATAAATTTATGGCAAAACAAATGGATGTCTTTAAATATAAAGAAATGCTTAATGGTAGCTACATATTTTCTCATTTTATAAGAATTGTATATTTTAAGAGATATTCTATTTTTAAAACTATTTTTGTGAGAATGTGGCATACAGATTTTTTTGCTATTTTACGGTTATTAATGTAATGTCTTTTCTTATTTTATATGAAATATATTCAAAAACATCTATTTGTTTTTCCATAAATTTATTAATTACTTTGCTGATGAATTACAATTGGAACATAAGCCTCTGTCCACACTATGTCATTTGTCAAAATTTGTGTCATTTTCCCATATATGGGCACGATGATGTCATATTATATCCATATATGGCCATATCACATTTATTTGTCACATAAAATTTAATAG